AGCCGCCACGCGTCCCTTCCGCCCGGTGAGCGCGCCGCCGCGGCTCCGCGCTCCGGGTGAGGACGCCGCCGAGCGCTCGGCGCTGCCCCGGCTGCTTCTCCAGTGAGGGTGTAAGCGTGCCTTGCTCTCGGTCTTGGAGCTCTGCGTGGAGCAGTAATTTGATTTTGAAAATGCAGTGTAGTTATTCTGCAGTTTTAAAAATATTCATGTTTTTACACTGCTCTGTCAAATCTGCTAGAATCCTCTAAGTTCTGGGGAGAGTATTTCCGTCTTTACCTTTTCTTAAGCACTATTTTATCATTTTAATTTAAACAAATACTTGTAAATGATAGCTTTTACTGTTTTAGGGAAGCTTTTGTGCTTGCGATTGACTTTGAGCTTCACTCTGCTGCACTGCTAGAGAAAGCTTAGCTGGGTTCAAACTGGGTAGATTAATGATAAGTATTTCCGCCGCAACTGGGCTTTTCTGCAAAACTGCTTTATTTTCGGGATGGGGTAACTGGGAGGGGAAATGCAGAGAAATGGTCGCCTCTCAGTAACTGGTTACCAGCATTCTTACCTCACAGTGTCAGCTGCGGTTTGAACCAGTGTTTTTGTATTCTGCCCCTGAAAATGAATTGTGTTTTATCTTGTCCTTCCACAAACCTGAAATTCCTCGGCTGATTTACTGAGGAACTTGTTACCCTTTTTCAAATAGTCCTGAAATATGTTAGGGAAATTGACGTTTCGTTTCCGTTATATCGCTTTCCAGAGACTCAAAAATTTTCCCACTTCCCATCCCCAAAGATAGCAGGTAGGTACTCTGGTAAGGAGCTTCTCCTTTGGGAAAGTGACAGTGCCACATTGCAGTTTTCGGACTGGAACAGCGTAATGTCCATATGCAGTAGGAAGGGCATTTTTGTTTTCAATATGAAGTGCAGAGAGGCATTGTTTAAATCAGGAGAAGTTCGGTGCATAGAAAGTCGTCCTCTGTGCCCCGTTGCTTTTGTTATCTTTAATAATTGTCTCATATTGTCTGTATTAACGTATGTGTTTTTAGGTGAAGGTTTGATTCATTCGTTCAAGGATCCTTTAGTGAGTACCTGCCCTGTGCCGGGCTCTGCCGACACTGGGAGTACAAAGCCAGGATTTTTTCGTAGTTGTGTTTGATTTAATCCTCCTCATCCGCCTAATAGTACTGATACGGTTGCTGTAACAGGAACAAGGGATTGGTTGGTTATGGACACAGTTCTTCCCCTGGAAGGATTTTATGAAGAGAAGCTGATAGAAAGCGAGGGAGGTAGAAACAGATTCAGGAGAGATGCTCCTGGGGCGGTAAGGTCATCTGCCTTACAGTGCGTCTTCGCATATGTACTAAACCATTCCTTTGCCCTTGTGAAAGAATATGACTTAGGAAAGTTACGAGTGATTCCTCGGCTCTGTTTAGGTGGTCAGCCTCTTGCAGGTCCCTAATCAGATGCAGCATCTGGAAAGTTTCCTGACCTAATTCTTAGGTGCTACACACGCTATAGCCTCAGGTAGACATGGATGTATAAGACTATGAAATAAATACAACGGCAAGTATTTTAAAGTTGTAAACGTACTTCGATTGTGTACTTTTAAGTACGTACATCATCAGTTAATCACACTAGATTAAATACGCATATTCTGTAGGGAAAATTTTTTAAAAACCCACTTCCCAGACGTGATTGAAGACAGTAATGAAAACAGAGAGATTGAAGGGGCAGAAGCTCATCTCCAGCAGAGGTTCCACAAGCTCCAACAGCAGTGGGCAGGAATGGGAAGGACCCTCTGTAACCTTCCCTGGCGCTTCTCTGCAGTCCTGCTTTAGACCCAGTGGTTTGTTATATGCTTCACAGTGAATGTCCTGTGAATACCTGGTGAAAAACATCTGTAGTGGATAAGAGTGCAGATGCGTATAAATCTAGAGAGTGAATACAGATGCAGAATACGCCTGTGTTCAGAGGGTTCACTGTACAGCGTATGTACTCTGGTTTCAAATGTGTAGCGTTACATACCTGGGATGGCATCAGTTTATGCTGCTTCTTGACTCTCAAGAGAAAGATAAAAACAAAACGTGTAGCTGGGTTATTACCAATCAGGAAGTCATTATACACCTATTGTTTAAATGTGATTCTTAGAACACATAGTAGCAAATTCTGATTTAAGAATAATTCAAAGACTATGGACAATGGCATAAAATTCATCATATTTTAAAATTTCCTGCTGACTTAACAAAATGTCACAGAAAACTTTCTGATTTCCCTTCACAGTGCCAGGAGGACCTGTTCTGTCAATCACTGAGTCCTAAGGAAAGTTATTTGAAAAAATAATAATAATCGCATAATGAGGTAAGTAGCAGAATTTTTTGGCTTTAAAAAGTGACAGAATACATATAAAATTTATCGTCTTAACTGTTTTAAATGCACAGTTCAATAGTAACAGGTATTTTTACACTGTTGTATAACTAATCTCCAGAGCTTTTTCATCTTGTAAAACTGAAGTCTCATACCCACTAAACAACTATTTATTTCCTTTTAGCTCCTGCCATTGGCAACAAGCCTACTTGTTTCTTTTTTTTTTTTATCTTTTTGAGACAGGGTCTCCCTATGCAGTTCAGGCTGGCCTTGAGCTCACTTTGTAGCCCAGGCTGGTCTCAAACTCGCAACTTTGTAGGCCAGCCTGGTCTCGAACTCTCAACTCTCAACGATCCTCCTGCCTCAGCCTCCCAAGTGCTGGGATTACAGATGTGCGCCACCACGCCCGGCCCTTAAATTTTATTTTATTTATTTATTTTTTTGGTACTGGGAATTGAATTTACAACCTCATGCTTGCCAGGATGGCGCTGTGCCACTGAGCTATATTCTACTTATTGTTTCTGTGAATTTGACTGACTGTAGTTTGACTTGTCTGTAGTACCTCATATTAGTGGAATCATATATTACTTGTCCTCTTTTTCTTTTTGAGCTTCTTTCATCTACCATAGTGTCCTCAAGTTTCATGTATATTATGGCAGGTATCGGAGTTCTTTTCCTTTTTAAAGTTAAGTAATATATACCACATTTTCTGAATGGATTATCCATTTATCAATGAACATTCGGATTGCTTCTGCTTTTGGGCTATTGCAAATAATGCTCCTAAGTAGATGGGTGAAATAGCAGTATTTTAGATCTGAGAAGAAGTATTTGTATAGAAATGTTTTTGGCTGGGCATGGTGACACATGCCTGGGTGTAATCCCAGCACTTGGAAGGCTGAGGCAGAAGGATCATCACAAGTTCCAGGCCAGCCTGGGCTACATAGCAAGACCCTGTCTCAAAAAACAAATGAAAAACAAAGATGTGCTTTTGTTCTTGAAAATAAAAGTGCTTACTTGATCCAGGGCTTGGAAAGCAGTGTAACACCTTTTCCAGTGCGGATCCATTGAAATACTAGTCTGATTATGATACAGCAAGCAAGTTCAATAAGGAAGACACTCACAAGAAAACCAAAAAGGCAGGAACGAACAAAGCTTTACTAGCTGACTGACAGTCTGTAACCAGGAGCCGGAGAAGATGTCCGCGCCACTCCGGGTCTCACCTTTGGTTTAAGTACATTTTAGGTTTCCATAGTAACCATTACTTCATTTGGGGGAATCTTGCAAGAACGTCACATGATTATCGAAAAGGTTACCTTTCTCAGAAGGTAGGACAGCCAAATTCCAAGTGATCATTGCAGTTTAACCTTTAGCTTACTTCCCGTGACTTCTGTTACTGTGAAGTTAAAACCAGAAAAAATGGAGTTGCTCTCGCCCTATCAATTATAGAAGGAAATCAGTACCTGTACTATTTTTGTGTATATTTTTGTTTTTTGGCTTCACACATGCAAAGGATGAACTGTACTTCTAAGCTATACTTCTAACTCCAATACCTAAGAATTCAAAATATTCTTAAAGACTAAAATAAAGCTCAGAATAGAACTCAGGCAAAGGACAAAGGTAATACAAAGTGGCTCAAGTAAGTCAGGCGTTTGGTTCTGATCCGCTGTTCTTCCTGTGGCTCAGGGAGTTCATTTAGTGTTCTCAGCCTTGGCTTCCCTGTCTACAGAGTGCAGTGGATATAATTTTCTTTGTGAAGACTCGAAACGTTACTGAGGAGAGGTACGTACTGTGTAGTGTGAGGGAAGGAGAGCTCTGACTGTGTTCGTGACTGTCGCTGCGGTCCTCAGGACAGGTGCTGTGTCTGCCTGCTTGCTGTACCTTACAGCGCAGGGCATGTGGTCGGCACCAAAAAGTATTCGTTGGCTGGACCACCAAGCACGTTTTGACCGTCCCCTGAAAGAGCGAGAAAGTGCACGTGAATTGGGATTGTTGCCATCTTTGATTTGCTACCTAAAATTATTTATAAGCCAGAATTCGTATACATGGTATCTGTTTCTCTCAGGTAAGTGTTTTGGAAGGTGTTGAAAACCAGCATTGGGTAAAAGGGAGAAGGTTCTATAGATCGTTCTAAGAATCTGGTGCCTAGCACCCCCCTCATTTTCCTCTAGCACAGTAGTTCAATGCAAAGTTCCAGTATCTTAGAATAGTAAAAGTAATGAATTTGTAGATTACTTGGTTTCTTTTTGACCCATTTCTAGAATTAATTTTGCTTTGCACTGTACAGTGCTAAATGAAACATGCTTTTCTATTTCTCACTTTTTTCTTAGGATGCATTGCATCTTGGACTCTTACAAGTCATCAATGTCCTTTTAGGAATCAGGTCACTCTTATTCCTGCCATAGTATATGTCCTTTGTGTTGAGCATCCCCAGATAGCGCCATTGTCAGTAGCCACAATTAATTGGCAATTCCAGAAGAAAAGGGTGCAAAGCTGGAAAGAACTTGCATCTCATAATTCATACTTGGCGTGCTTAGAAAGTAGAGAGGACCTCATTATCAGTGACAGACTGCTGGATTGAAAGGGACAGGTGAAGCTTAAAAAAATACTTTACTTGGAATCTTTATGTATTATTTCCCCCATAAGCCAGTAAAATAGGCTTGAATAAATTGGTAGTAGTGTGGAGAATATAATGCTTTGTGTAAGAAAACAAAGAGGAAAAGTAGAAAATGCCAAGATTGATGAGCAGCCTTTGCTGTGGGTAAGGGGGGTGGGACCAGGAAAAGATACAGAGACACAGATACATAGTGACTGATGTCCCCGCTTTAAATGCTGCCCTTGTTCCTTCTAACCAGATTTATCCATGAAAAAGTGTCTCGCTCAACCTGGCTGCTGGCAGGGGGACTTGATATGTACTGCAATCAGTCAGAAATGCTCTTCCACAGCTTGCATTGAGAAATGACTTGCTGCAGCAGCAGTTATCTATTCAAATATGACGCTGTAGCAAATACAGCTATTTCTCAATATGCTTTAGCAGTGTTGTTCAAGAGCTGAAATTTCAAAAACAGTAAAGGCAAGACGAGGCCTTCTAAATGATAGAGTTTAATTATGTATAAAATAACTGATTACCATATATCTATATCTGTATCTCCACTTATTCAGTAAATAGAAAAGATGGATCACATTATCCCAAATAGTTCACAGTATAATTGATTGAGATTGATGACCCAGTCACATACTATATAATTAATAGATCACAAACACAGCAAGTTTTCTAGATGGACCCTTTATTATTGTTACAAGTTTATTCCCATGCATGCCTTTTTTTCTATATGTATTATTAACAAAAAACAATTTACATTATTTTGGTATATTTAGAAGAGTCTTGTAATAGTAGATGGACTCCTTAGGAATAAAATAGTAGGAGAAAATCATTTAGGAAGGTGAGGATAGAATTGGTAGAAAATAAAATAACAGTGAAAAGAACAAATTTCCTGGATATGGATAAATCTTTAAGTCTAAAACTTTTCCCAGACTACTCTGTAGCACCTGGAAAATATTTGTGGAGAAAAATAACCTTTTATGTACTATTTCTGGCATTCAGTATTTTATAATTAAGTAAATTCTAGATTATGCTGCTTAAAATTTGATGGAAGCTAGGTGTGGTGGGACATTCCTACAATCTCAGCACTTGGAGGAAATCTAGTGAGGCTGTCTCTCAAAGAATAAAAATAGGTTGGCCCTGTCTCAAATTAAAGAATAAAAACAGTTGGGGCTATGGGTCAGTGTAAAGGCCCTGGGTTCAGTCCCCTCTACTTGAAAACATACATATTAATGGGAAAGAGTTACTTTAACAGCGATAGGGAATTGTTGCTATTGTAGTTACTTTTCTTTTTCTGCCAGTTATCCTAAAGTCTATAGCAGAAAGGGCGAACCTCTTAGCGCTTTCAGTGATAACAAACAACTGGCTGCGGCATGCAGGCCCCACGTTGGCCACCACTGGTCTGTAGTTTTGTCGCTTTTAGGACCCAAACCAAATTTTCACTGGTCAACCAAGACGTTTTTTCTACTTAAAACTTATATGCCTGCCTGATTATGTAATAAAGTTTCAGGTTATTATTTCCTAAGCCTTCACAAGGATAATATTGTCTTAACGAAGGGTGATATTCCCCTCCCCCCAGCAAGTTGTTTCATTCACCAACTTCTGTTGAAACAAGAATGTTCAAAGCTATTTCAATGAAAAATATATTTGGAAAGATATAAAAGCCAGAGATCTGAGACATCTTTTACCTCTCAAATAGGTTGGCCACAGATCTGAAAGTAGAAAAGTGATTCCGGTGATACAGGTTTGAGGTCCCATTTTATGACTGGCTCTCTTAGTCACAGGTCTTTTATGTAGAGAAAGATTTTGAGGGTTTCGTGTAGTCATAATTAAGCCTTAATTTGCATTTAACTTGTGCTTATTCTGTTAAAGTGTTTAGTATACACTGGGGGAAAGATAGCCTCCTTAATAAATGGTGTTTGGAAAACTGGCTATCCATATGCAGAAGATTGACACTAGACCCATAGTTCTCATCATGTACTAAACTGAAATCAAAATGGATCAAAGAACTAATGTGAAGACAGAAGCACTTAACTTGCTGGAAGATGAAAATAGGGAAAACTCTTTATCACAGACATAGTCAGGGACTTTATGAACAGAGCCCCAGTTGCATAGGAAACAGTATCAGGAATCAACAGATGGGGTCAAACCAAATCAAAGCTTCTGCACAGTGAGAGAAACAACCTGCCGTGAAAGACAACCTACAGAAAGGAGAAAAAAATTTGCCAGGTATTCCTCAGATGACTAATAATCTAGACTGTATAAAGAGACCTCCAAAAAATTAGGACCCCCCCCAAGAAAAATGAGACAATCAAAAATGTGTAGGTGAAATGCATAGACACTTCACAGAAGTACCAGTGGCTGGTAAATGCATGAAGAAATGCTCAGCATTTTT